TATATACCAAAACTTCAGAGATCGCTGCTGTTCTAGAAAGAGAAAAAGTAACAGGCTCTGATTTCTTGCAACCCAGGGAAAAACTTGTATTGAAATGAGTTACCTACCTCTCTGGTATAGCGTTCTATGTTTTTTTTATTTTTTTTCCCCTTTTAACGTACTGCATATGAATACACATGTCTGTCTGTCTGTCTCTCTCTCTCTCTCTCTCTCTCTCTCCCTCTTTTTTTTTTAAAGTGGGAATCTTGCTTGAAGAGCAGCATCCTCTTTATTAAAAACCAAAAATCTTTATCTAGCTCTGACTTCTTTTTTGTTAATGGAGGGATTCTATTTTTGAGCAATTTCTTTTGCTCTTTCCCGGGATGAAGCTCTCTACCATAGATAATCTAGAAAGCAAGTACAATAGGTGTAATCTTTGCTTTTTTTATTTAGTTGACAGTGTACAACGGTGCACACACTCTTCAAACTGTGTTTATCTACATAGATCTATGTAAACATTTAGCTATATATATATGTATATTAAACAAGTATAAATTATATAAAGCGGCATTCTTCAAGAATATGATGGCATAAAAAATTTAGTATTTCATAGCTGAAATACGATTTTTAAAAAGCTTAAAAATGTAAGATTTACAGCATTTTCCGTACTGGGACTGTGGTCTGCATAAAAACTAAAGAAAGCTGTATAAATGGCTCTGTTATTTTTGTCACTATCCTGCCACCCCCTGAGTTTTTTCATAGCTGTCTTGACTTCAAACTCTGAAGTTTCCTTTAAAAAGCAAACAAACAAAATCCAAACACCAGATGGCCAAACCCCTAACATTATGTATGTATTGAACCAGAATCACTGCTGCTGGCTTTTGTGGACTGCACATGGGATGTCCTGTTATGTTTGTGAGAAGCTAAGGAAAAAACATAGTGCTCCATAAAACAGAGGGAGGCCCCCTCAAAAGGTTGTAGTGTCTATTATTCTTACCATGTTCTACACATAGGCTATGGGAAGAAGAGCAACATACCGTTATCCGCATCCTGGGAATGGTGGTATAGAGCCAAATGTTATCCTCCCTCTCTCGTTGGTCCCGTACATTAAAGTAAATTACAGTCAAAAGGCTCTTTGGTCATCTCCCCTGCAGTGTTGTTTGTCTTCAAATTCCATGCGTTACAAATCTGAGTGGTTGTTACCTTATCTAGTAACACTGAACATTCAAAGCACCGAATTATAGCTGGGATATTTGTTAAAACATTTTTTAAAAGGTCTACTTTTACACCTGAACTATTTTTTAAAATAATTTTAAACCTAGGAACTTGGTGTTGTTCAGTGAAATCACATTGCTTAGCATGAAATCTGCTGCTAATTGAGAATCTATAATAGATGCTCAGAAGGAGTGAATGAACAGTTAATCATAACTTTGGTGCTGGACGTTATGAAAACTGGATTCCACTTCAGAAGTTTTGTCAGTGATTAAAAGGATAGCATAAATATGCTGGAAATATTTTAACATTTACTTAAAATTTAGGAAATCTGACATTTTCACTGCTATCCATCTCATTGACATTCTGTTTTGAATGCACTTCCTTTTAAGATGATTTCTAAGGTTAGAAAAGAAGTTCTGCAGCTTGGAGTGTTCAAATTTTTAGTAATGGGAAATGCTTATAAATTGATGTGTGTGTAGTCTCATGCTAACTGATTTATTCTGTTTGAGTTATTGACACATGATGGGGTAGACGACAGAGGTTAACCTGGCAATAAAATTGCCCATGTTTATCTTTTTGATGGCTTCTTCCTAATTAGAATTTTAGAAAAATAGAAATGTAGGGCGGTAAGGGACCTGAAAAGATCAAGTCCATCTGCCTTGGCTGAAGCAGGATTAAGTATACATAGACAATCCTTGACTGGTGTTTGCTAGCCTGTTCTTAAAAACCTCCAAGGATGGGGATTCACCACCTCCCTTAGGTAACCTGTTATGGTACTGAACTATCCTTGTAGTTAGCAAGTTTTCCTTAATATCCAACCTGGATCTCCCTGTGCTCAGTATGTTCAACGAAAATACTGTGTGATTGTAAGTCAGGGCTGATTGTGGAAGGCTGCTTGATTTTAGGCTGTTACCAACAACTTCCAAAGATGTGTGTGTCAAAATAATTCCTGCACTCAAAGTAATGTAACAAAATATTCTGAAATAATGAACTCGTCAATTTCGACTGGTATTTTTAGTGCAGCTAAAAATATCCAGGTGTGGAAAGAACTTGATATAATTTCTCACTGCTCTGTTTTGTAGCAATATGTTTTCATTCTGAACACATTTCCAAAATATCTGTATCTACATATTTGCTTATGACAGGGACGGGGGAAGTTGTGGCAAATGATACTGATTGTCATTATAGTGCTGCTTATTTTTACACAGCTACTGCATGGTGAGCAATATCTGGAGTTATATAAACCACTTCCAACCTCAGGTCAGTCCTTTACTCTGATGGTTTCATATTCACCATGACAGCACTTCACTTTTCTTTTGTATCAGCATTACATAAGGAAATACGGATACATTGTTTAGAACTGGTTTCTGTTGCAAATTTACTCTGTATTTTGTTTGTGTTGCTTTATCATACTGGTGTTGGAACTTTCCAATCAGCTGTCCTTTTAAAAAAAAATCTGATCAGATGGTGCATTTTTTTTTTTGGTCTAACAACTATAGTTTATATTTGTTGTGATGTACTTAGTAAAAACAAGGTAACAATTGGCTTTCTGCTGAGCTGCCTGAAAAAGAATATTCAGTTGCTCACTAAACATAAATTAGTGTGCCTTCACAATGTGTTATATATAGCTCATGATCAACTCATTAATTAGACTTAATTAATTACCTCTGGGAGTTGATATTACAAATTGTCAGAATATGTTTCCAGAAACTGTACTTTGTTACATTGTTTACATCCCTATGTCTGGGAGACTTAAAGAATGAAATTAACTAAGTATGTTTTAATTTTAGAAAGACAAGCTGGACCAAATTCTGTTGGTGAGAGCGAGAAGCTTTTGACCTTATAGAGATGTGAACAAAGACATACTTATCCCTTGCCTTCAAAATTTTCATTGAAAAATGTATTATTGGATAATCAGGTCTATGTCCAAAGAGATTATATATTTCTGTTTTATAAGACTTCACTAAGTACAAAGATAAGAACAACCATATTGGGTTAGACCACTGGTCCATTTAGCCCAATATTCTGTTTTCTGACAGTGGACAATGCCAGGTACTTCAGAGGAAATGACAGAAGAGGCAATCATCAAGTGATCCTTACCCCCTGTCATCCCCTCAGAGCTTTTGGCAAACAGAGGCTAGGGACATTCAGAGCATGGTTTTGCATCACCACCCATTCTGCTTAATAGTCATTGATATACCTATCCTCCATGAACTTATCTAGTTCTTTTTTTGAACCCTGTTTTAATTTTGGCCTTCACAACATCGTTGGCAAAGAGTTCCACAGATTGACTGTGTGTTGTGTGAAGAAGTACTTCCTTTTGTTTGTTTTAAACGTGCTGTCTATTCATTTATTTGGGTGACCAGTAGTACTTGTATTATGTGAAGGAGTAAATAACACTTCCTTATTCACTTTCTCTACACTATTCATGATTTTATAGCCCTCTTTCATATTCCCAGTATTTTTAATCTCTCTTCATATGGAAGCCGTTCCATACCCCTAATCATTTTTGTTGCCCTTCACTGAATCTTTTTCAATTCCAGTACTGGTTGCCATTGGTTGAATTTATTTGTAAAGTGGTATTGAGAAATTCTTCAGAGAAAGAGATGAGAGCAAGTGGGGAAGAAACCAAATAAACCACGGATAAACTAGTTCTTTGCTTCTGAGAGCGAAAGGAAGCACCTGGGCTCTTTATTGCTTGCAGGAAAGATGGCATGCTCCCCATTAATTGACAGGACTCTATGAATAAGATCATATTGTTCAGGCTGATATTTAAGTTGTTCGCAGATCTGTCAACCGATTTAAAACAATAACATCTCAAAAAATAGAATATCATATTGCATAGGACACTGGCCACCAATTCCTCTCTTGGATTGTCTCCAGAGTTGCTGTTAGTTTGAAAACTTCTTAAGAACTTTCAGAAGGCAATTCCTATTACTTCATTCCTGACCTTAAATAAATCTATTTAAAAAATGTATTTGCTGGTACACACACACACAAATGATATGTGATATATACACACACACAATGCATATTATGATATAGACCTGTGTGTAAAAATAGTTTATTTTTTTTTAATTGTTGAAATGCAAGAATTTTCATTTGCCTCCCTAGAGGTCTAAAAGTGTAAAATATTCAGGATAAGAACATAGAGACACTTGTTTGAGAGAAGCTTGGCTTCAATATTCAAGTTATGCTTAAAATCTTGTATTTTATAACTTTGAATGATAAGAAAGCTTGTGATGGTTAAGAGCCCTATTCTTTGAACATTTTGGGTTTAATAATTGAAAATGGATTGTGTTAAAAGGGTTTATTGGGAGGGGAAGAAGTCCCTAGCCTGATAAAGGCTAAACATTTTAACTAGAGCTTTTTGCAGTACTTGATAGTTAGGGTATTGTCGCGGATTCAGAAGCTCTTTTAATTATATTTTTATGTACCAGTGACATGAGAAGACAGTAAACCGAACATTTTCCTGCTATTTGACATTCAGCATTACAAGTTGTAGTGGAATATGATAGGCAATATTGGTCCACATGTAGTGTGAGCATTCTGGATAAAGAAAGAGGACATACGAAATGGCTAAATAAATACTCTGCGCTTCCTGCACCAAATAATTAGTATATGTGATACAACTTGTCTACGTTCTCTAGGAGAAGACTTTTTACAAATAAAAGAGAAGTAGTGGGAGATTTAATGTGAAGTACAAAACTTTAAGACTATAGAGAGCCATTAATTTTTCAAGTTTTGTAAATAGTTGCTTTTGGGAAGTGGACCTGCTCTAAGGGCTGAGATAAACAGTATATTTTGTGTGTATTCAGAAGTGTCTACTTTTGATTCACTATATTTTGCACTTATATAGCATTTACAATCTATATGTGCTTCATCAACAAGCTTTGCCTTAAAGGACAGTCAATCAACTTGCAACCTATTTCATTTTGAGACAGATGTTGGTAGTGGTTTCAGGTGCTACTTTTGCTTCTCAGTGACCTGAGAGTTTCTGTGGTTTTATAATTAAATTTTCTTATGTTTCACAAAATGTAATTTGTTTTCCCTCCCTTTCTGTTTGTGTGTGAAACTCAGAGGAAAGTAAATTGTTTCTCCATATTACAAATACTTTCATTAACTTTACACAAAATGCATCAAGAAGACAAATAGAAAAAAGCAGTTAAATTGTTTCTATCAATTATAATTTTAGCCGTTACTGTTAAAAATAAGAGGTGAAATATTTTCAGACTGAAGCATGATTTTCAATGGGCATATTAAGTCTCACAATGATCCTTTGCAGTATATGCCTGTTTTTCTTCCTTGGCACACCTGCCAGTTATCCTGTTTTTGGTAGACTGTGTCCAAGGGTTCTACTGGGAAAAGATATATATGAATAAGCTTCAACACTCATACAGTTATTGTTGTGAAATTAATGAGCCAGTCTAAACCTTGAGAGGTTCATAAATATTCCAGACGTGAGTGCACCTTAACTTCTGGTAGACACTAATGGCTTGTCTACATGATGAGTTAGTGCACAGCAAGCCAGGATGTGAATGTACAGTATGCTAGCTTTGCCATGTGGACCCTGTTACTGCGCACTAAGTTTCATAGTGCACTTTGATGTATTGATGCTTGAAATAGGAGTATGTCAGAGTGCACTATGGAACTTTTAGGTACCAGGGTTTATATGGCAAATTAGTACACTGTAGATTCACATCCTGGTTTGCCACGAGCTAACTCACCATTTAGGTAAGCCTCAATCTGGCAACTATCTCCACCCAGGCAGATGCCTCTCAAACACAGTAAGGCTCTGAGTGGACACTGGAGTCAGTTACAGGATTGGGATCTAAACATATACCGGTTCCTGTTAACTGACATTTTAAAGAAAAACCTCACCTGCATTGTATTAATATATTAGAAATACATTATTTCTAATTTATATGTTCTAAAACTTTACTTGTGTGTATTACAAACCTGGGAATATTTGTAATTAGCTTTGCTAAAATACTCCTGCAAAATTCATGTTGTATTGTAATTTAAGACCTTTATACTACAACATATGTATTTTCCTATTCTCTCTCCTTTCAGGATCGTTAACTTCAGAATCAACTATTGCTGATATTCTTGACAAAGGCTCAGGAGCACTTATTCTCTTAGATGGTAACCATGTGGTAACTTATTAAAGAGACACAATCGAAGCTGACAGTCTCAAAATTTAACCTATGCTAACAATAACTTTCAGCCTAAAATTAGTTTAAATTCTTAGGTTCTGGCCACATGGCCCGGTGACTGCTGAGAAATGAATTAATTTGCAATCTTGTGCATGTTGCCTTGTTCTTTGGAATAGCTAGGATACTGAAATTAAGAATACTCCTTTTTGAGAGAACATTGACAGAAGATTCAGTATTGTTCCTGCCCACCTGAGGAGAGAGATGGTGCTGAATACACAAACAGAACAAAGCTAATACTTCTAATACATAGTCTTATCTGAAGTTGGTTAAACTGTGTTTCTCTTAAAAAGGTGTGTGTGTGTGTGTGTGTGTGTGTGTGTGTGTGTGTGTGTGTGTGTAGTAACTAAC